GCTGTGTGGCTCTTCCTATGACGGCGATCACGCCATGGTGTGTAAGAAAGGGCTTCATATGCATGAGGCATGACGAAGTAGGGACCCAGCAAATATGCTGAAGGAAATCTGCCGGGATGTCATGGTAGAACACACACACACACACCTCAACCCACCATAAATTGAACCCACGGCTCACAGGCCCAGACTGTGACGAGGCATCTTCACTGGACCACCAGCTACGGGCGTGGGTTGAATCTAGCGAGAATCGAAATATATGTAGAAGTCCGCGTGTTTATTGGGCTAATAAAATATATATGGATCCTCGTGTTTCGAAGCCGGATTTGGTAAAACGTTACTCTGACCACCTACGTGATACTGGTAGTCCCCATTAGAGGTTCACGGCGCCATAAGGTCGTTGAACAGGCTTTGTGTGAAATGTAACAGAGTCTAGGACTGCTTTTAGTATCCTGGTGGTCCAGAGGTAGCGTTCTCCGGTCACAGTCATGGGCTCGTGGGCCGTGGGTTCGAATCCTGGCGGGTTGAGGTGTTGATTGTATGCAGAGGGCAGATTATTGGCCCTCACCTGTATCACTTGTATCAATTGTATCACTATCCACCACAGAGGCTTGCAGGGCCTCTTTGTCAAACCCCTCAAAGTCCATATAAGTCCATATCCTCACTATCACTGACTTGGGCCGGCTGTGGTGGGTGGCGGGTGAAGAACTCGGTAATGTTTTGATGACTGGGCGACCTTGTGTGCATCCTGCCCGCTCCACTCTCCGCGTAAAAGAGTACAAGTACCACGTAAAGTGAGCATTCCGGGTCTGGCAGGGTACCGCGTAAACGTGGAAACGCGTAAAAAAAAACCCGCGTAAAGCGGGGTAATACTGTACATGTAATCAAAATAATGTACAAAATGGTTACTAAAATGTTTGTCTAGTGCAAACTATGGCATGGTTGCATTCAAATTAATCACTATCTTATAAGAATTCCAGCAATGTAAATTATATTCTCTCCGGTCACTTCTATGCAATTTTATGAGCGAAAAACAAAAACTCAACTAAACGACATAAATAAACAAATAAATACTTCACCAGACCTTCAGCGCTAACTGTCAAACATGTCACTGTCACCCCTCCCTCCCTCCCTCCCCTCCTCCCTCCCCCCCCCCTCCCTCCCAACCCCCCCCCCTCCTCCCAGCGAAGGTTACTAGTTATACAGTAGGCTTTAAGTTTGTATCATATATAATATCACAGACTAAAGTTGGGGGAATATAATTTGCATTGCTGGAATCCTTGCAAGACAGAGAATAATTTGAATATAAACGTCATATATTTTGCACAAAAGATAAAATTTTTGCTCTCTAATAAAATTCTTAAATTTGATCTAAAATTTGTATGTCTAAGGCAAATTTTAGCTTGTTTATATTCAAATTAATCACTATCTTATAAGAATTCCAGCAATGTAAATTATATTCTGGCCAAGTAATTTCTATGAATTTTATGAGCTAAAAACAAATATCTCGAGTAAATAAACAAATTATACTTCACCAGACACAATACGTACGTACGTTGTAGTAAAAATAACATCTTAATTTTATGATGGTATGCACACACAATTAATATTTAAGCAGTGCCGTATTAAGTTTAATAGGGGCCTGAGGCACAGACCAGCTTGGGGGCCCCCTACCCTAAAGGTATATATAAATAACAAGAACAAAAAATGACTAAATTGATTGTTACTATTGTTTACTCAAAAATCAAAATGCGCAACTATTGGTAACTTAAACAAACACTTTTCTACTTTTCTTTCTAGAAAATTCATCAATGATATCATCAAAATTAAGCTTCCGCAAAATATAAAATTCAATGTTTATAAGAGATAGAAATTGGAGACGTGGCTGGGACATTGCTGAACGAAGCTCATTTTTTATACGCTTCAACTTCGAGAGAGTTCGTTCTCCACTTGAATTAAAGACACCATTAATGACAGAAAGATTCTCAACAGTCCAATATGAAAGTCTAGCACCGTACCGTCCGTACGTCACAATGGAGTTCCGGATCAGCTGAGTGTTGTCAGCTACTCAATTCAATTTCAAGTGTTTATTGCTTGATAGAGGAAGCGGGATCCTAGTGCTGTCACTAGGTACCTCTGTACAATAACACCAGAAGCATCTGGCAAGTGTGACAAGTATATACAGTATAAATATTATAAAGGGGCTTACTAAAGCCTAAGGAAGGAAGGAAGGATATTCCTTTAACACATAATCAATGTTATTTACATAATATCTGGCCAGTATGGGGAGGATCATCGTGTCTCCATCAGGGGGCCGTGGAGTGGTGGTCCAGCAGGCATCACGGAAGCGTTGTGTGTGGGGACATCTTAGGAGGTAGTGGATAAGGGTGCGGCTGTCGGGTCTTCTGCATAATGCACAAGAGCGTTGCTCAGGGGATGCGGGGATACCAATCTCCCAAGCAAAGTCATACCCAATGATGATACAGACAGCAATCACGTCCCTTTCCCATAGACATATGAGAGGTCAGGAAGTTTACGGAGGACATCGTACCAGGCGGGCAGGGAGTCCAGGGGGATGGCTGCTTTCCGAGCTTCTCTCTGTTTGCGGCAAATTTGGGTCCTAAGCTGTAAAAGTGTTCGAGGAACAACGTAGTCAGGTGTGGCCTTGTTGCAGCCAGTCTTGGAAAGGTCATCTGCTGCCTCATTCCCCAAGATACCGACACGACTGGGTATCCATAGGAATGTCACAGGACGGCCTGCATCCTAAAGTGTGGATGTTAACCCTCGTATTCGGAGGATGAGGTCCTTATTTTCCCGATCCAAATGCGATCCCGTCGAGAGCAGACCTGGAATCGCAGCAGACAAGCAAGGGGCAGAAACCATCTGCTTCTTCCTCAGCAAGGAGGGCTATTAGTTCAGCCTGAGTGGAGGATGCCCCATCAGAAACTCTGAGAGACAGTTTGATAGGCTCAGGGGCATCAGGACGGGAGATGTAGACACCAGCCCCGGCCCGACCTGTAGCGGGGTCAACAGAACCATCAGTGTAGAGGACGATCCTACCTGGGGGACCAGTAGGCGATCCTGGTGAGGTGGTATTTGCAGAGAATAACAGGGTTCATGTGGGATTTCGGGAGCGGTCCACCGAGGGCAATCACTTCAGGTTGAAAATCCAGCCAGGGAGAACGAGACGAACCAACAGCAGGGGTGACAACAATATCAGGCAGGAGGTCGTGTTCCTGAAGGGCTCGGATGAGTGACCCTCGCCACTGTCTTCTAGATGGAGGTCGGCCTCAGACAGCAGGAGTCAAGTTGGCTTGGACATAGTTGCCCCGAGGATCCCGTAGAATGGAAACGGCAGTTTTTAGGTAAAACTCCTGGACACCGTCAGCTACTGTTGTCGAACAGACTATCAGTTGCCACATGCCACTATTGAGTCACTAAAATGTACAGTGACCTCTCGTTTAACGAACACCTCGGTTAACGTAATTTCGATTAACGAACTGCCTTCCATAAGGATCTTCAATTCGGTTAACGAAAAAAAATTCGGTTAACGAAGTTCTTACGAACCGACCTCAACATGTTTTTGCTTGCACTGACCGGGCAACCAGCTTTAGTATCAGTCCGCCAATACATTAATCGGTTCTAGGGCTTAAATTCCTTACTATTTTAGTAAATATCAAGAAGTTTATACTATTCAATAATTTTAAAAGTTTAATATTCAATTTTTAGTCATTTTAACAATTATTGAACATAATTGAAGGTAAAGTGACTAGTTTAATGCGCGGCATCCAGCCTCTTAACACAGCAAACAGGAGTTAGTCTCTCTCTGTTTTCACTGGAGGTAACATCTTGCTTGAGACTCTCTTCAACTAAACGCTTTTTTTCTGTGTTCCAAGCAAATTATTGGTCATTTTGAAATAGATTTTACATATTGACAATATATAATGCAGTGCAGTGTTGATTTAAAGAAAATAATCTTGAATTACACCAGAGAGCTAAAATTTTATGGGTGAAATGGCACCATGGGGTGACTTCTCTTCCACCCCAATGCCTTCTCTTCTTCCTTCTCCTCCACCCCCATTCTAAATCCCATCATCATCATCATCGTCCAGGAGCCTTCTACATACACACCTCAAAGTAAGTGAACTTTTCTACCATTTTTGTTGAATTTAGGAAATTTTCGGTGAGCTGGAACCAATTACCCAAAAACCCATTGAAACAATGGTTTCGGTTAACGAACGACCTTCTGGAACGGATTGAGTTCATTAACGGAGGGGTCACTGTATATGTATGATCCAATTGGACACATTAAGAACGAAATAGTTAATGGCTTACTTACTAATTGACCATTTAATGGCATATATAGCTAAATATTTTTATCCTTAGAGTCTGGGGGCCTGAGGCCAGTGCCTCAAGTGCTTCATGGTTAATCCGGCCCTGTATTTAAGAGAAATATCAATAATATTAGGTTTTTTAACACTTACGTTAGTTGAAGAGATGGCTGGGTACACGGGGATGCGGGGTTGGTTCTGAGGCAGAGGGCAGATTATTGGCCCTCACCTGTATCACCTGTATCACTATCCACCACAGAGGCTTGTAGGGCCTCTTTGTCAAACCCCTCAAAGTCCATATCCTCACTATCACTGACTTGGGCTGGCTGTGGTGGGTGGAGGGTGAAGAACTTTGTAATGTTTTGTTGACTGGGCGACTTTGTGCACACCGCGTAAATAAAAATTGTCGGTCTGGCAAGGTGCCGCGTAAACGAAATCCGCGTAAATCGAGACTATACTGTATGTTGTACAGTGGTCCCTCGGTTAACGAACGGTTCGATTATCGAAATCCTTACAACAAACACGTTTTGTTGTGAGCATCAGCTGATCTGCTAGTCCGCTAACACATTAATCTGTTACATTCGTTTCCAGTGGAGTAAATATCAAGAAGGTTGTGTTCTTGAATATTTTTGCATTTTTTATATTAAAATTATTGATCATTCTAAAATTTAGCCTTCCAGGCTGAAGCTCTGCTTGTCGGATTCTTCCTCTGTATTCATATCTACCAATGGTGAGTTAGCTTTCAGTGTTAATAATTATGAGGAAGTATTCACTCATTTCGGCCATTATTACTCCACATCTTGCTGCCACCAGCGAGATAAAGGAAGTGTAGAGAAGTTTGTGCTGGTAAAGTGTATTAATATACATAAAGTATTACAATTTACCATGTATGGAGTATTTGTATTCAATATTCACATCTGAATGCTTTATAATACCATTTTTTAAGTATTGTACAGTACTGTAGTCTTATTTGTATATTCAAATTCTTGAGATGGAAATTTTAAAGTTAAGTATACTACTGTGCAATATTTCTACTCATTCACTGAATACAAGTACTATAGTACAGTGCTTTCATCAATGCTTATTACCATAGTAACGAAAATACCCTCTTTGTGATGATTTTTTCTTCTAAAATTACATCATATTTGTGTAATGTGATCAGAAATATTTGAAATTTAATGAAAAAAAGAGAATTTAGTTCAAAATACTGTAAAGTAAATACTGTAAAATACATTTTTAACTTGCTGGCCACACATTGAAAATACGGTATACATAGGTAAAATTAAAATGTGAAAAAAAGGGGTTAATGTCAATAATACCAATTTAGACTCAAGCCCGTGAATCCTGGGTTACAAGGGCCAAGGTCTAAATTGGCATTTTTTGACATTGGCCCTTCTTGCACTCAGCCAGAGAATTTATCTTTCTAATGAATTAAGTTTTTATAAGTTTCTTTTTTTTCTCTCCTAGGACTGATTAAGTTTTTGAACTCTTTGATTTTTGCAATTTTTCTTTACCCACCCTCTGCTTTGCCTCTTCCTGGAATGAATATACAGTTGGCCCTTAACATACGCGGGGGTTAGGTAACAGAGATACCTGTGAATGTTAAAAATCTATGCTTGCCCCAAAACCCCTGGCCCCTCATGTCCTTATTTACCGTATATACCGGTGTGTAGTTCGAGTGAATTAGGATAGAATATTATTGTAATACAACAGTTTTTTAACTGAAAACCATTCGAAAAGCGATTACGGTAACATCTTTTGAACGAAAGAAAGCGAAAGTCATTGCTTTCGTCACTTTCCACTGTAATACGTACGTCATTTCAGCAAAAATATTACATTTCCATATTCTCAGAAATAAATAGTAGATTTGCTGAAACGTAATGTATTTCAATGTAAATTAGGATAAACTACATGAAAACAAAAGACTTTACCGTACCTTCCGATGTTCAAGATATGTTACTCGTTTTTTTTATAGTTTTCGGTTAAAATACTGTTATATTAGTGATATTCTATTCATACTGTGCTTGATATAATACATTCACGGAAATGTAATATTTTTGCAACTACAATGCTGATGTCAACACAAGCGTGGTTACAGCGAGACTGACTGAGTGAGGGAGAGCTATGCATGTGTGTGTGAGGTTGTGGGAGCGGGCGGTGTCCCGTGTGAGGTGCCGCGCGCGAGTTGAATGTACTTCAATTACTTCAATGTACAGAATATTCCTCCGGCGGGGCAATCCGCGTATTTGCAAATCCGTGTATGCTAAACCCGCGTATGTTACTGTACACTTTATGCATCACTAGGGTGAGTTTAGTCTTTCAAGTAATGTACAGTTCTAGTTAGTCAATAATTGACAAAGCAGAGAGAACAGCTATAAATCATGGAAATAAAAGTGCAAGTTGGAGTCATTTTGTTGCATTCTATAATTGTGATTAAATTTGTAATTTCAAAATTAATCTTAATTTATATCCAGTATTTACTCCACAACATTGGCTCTTGCATCAAAATATTACAGGGTCAAATAAACTTTCAGACCTCTGGGTGAATGCTAATTAATATTTACTCTTTTTTTTTACAGAACCTGGACCCAACTTCATCCCCAGTGTCTCGTGGAGAAATAAATACCTCTAACCCACGAAAGGAAAAATCAAAGGTTTGCAGCCCCATAAAAAGTCCCTTGCTAACTCCAAGAAAGCATAAGTCTGGCCCAGGAAAGAGACAACAAGAAAGCCCATGTAAAGAAAGAGGAAATCCAAGGAAGAGAAAAAAAATAGAGGAAAAACCAAAAAAGGGAAAAGAAGAGGAAATTTTGGAAATAGATCAGCTGCTAGACCAAGTCAATTGCAGCCCACCACAGAAAAAATACAGTGGAGAATAAACCTAACAAACTTAAATCACCAGAGAAAAAGTCATTGTCAAAGCCAAGAAATAAATTATTTGATAATAGGTAAGTCTATTCACTCGTCTATTCTCCCTATATAGCACAGGTTGTACCTCTCTAGTCCAGCATTCTGTGGTCCGGAACAATTTTAGTTTGTCCAATAGGTAGATAGGCAGGTTTTTTTTTTCTGAATTATTATTATTATACAGGATTATTAAATTTTTGCCTCAGGCCCCAATGTGGGTCAGTGACCTAAGCCGGGTGGGCTAATCCTCATAAAAACAACAACAAAGCCACGGGAAATTAAGGTTTGTTTACATCCCACAGATTCGGCTGCTCTCTCTCTCTCTCTCTCTCTCTCTCTCTCTCTCTCTCTCTCTCTCTCTCTCTCTCTCTCTCTCTCTCTCTCTCTCTCTCTCTCTCTCTCTCTCTCTCTCTCTCTCTCTCTCTCTCTCTCTCTCTCTCTCTCTCTCTCTCTCTCTCTCTCTCTCTCTCTCTCTCTCTCTCTCTCTCTCTCTCTCTCTCTCTCTCTCTCTCTCTCTCTCTCTCTCTCTCTCTCTCTCTCTCTCTCTCTCTCTCTCTCTCTCTCTCTCTCTCTCTCTCTCTCTCTCTCTCTCTCTCTCTCTCTCTCTCTCTCTCTCTCTCTCTCTCTCTCTCTCTCTCTCTCTCTCCTCTCTCTCTCTCTCTCTCTCTCTCTCTCTCTCTCTCTCTCTCTCTCTCTCTCCTCTCCTCCTCTCTCTCTCTCTCTCTCTCTCTCTCTCTCTCTCTCTCTCTCTCTCTCTCTCTCTCTCTCTCTCTCTCTCTCTCTCTCTCTCTCTCTCTCTCTCTCTCTCTCTCTCTCTCTCTCTCTCTCTCTCTCTCTCTCTCTCTCTCTCTCTCTCTCTCTCTCTCTCTCTCTCTCTCTCTCTCTCTCTCTCTCTCTCTCTCTCTCTCTCTCTCTCTCTCTCTCTCTCTCTCTCTCTCTCTCTCTCTCTCTCTCTCTCTCTCTCTCTCTCTCTCTCTCTCTCTCTCTCTCTCTCTCTCTCTCTCTCTCTCTCTCTCTCTCTCTCTCTCTCTCTCTCTCTCTCTCTCTCTCTCTCTCTCTCTCTCTCTCTCTCTCTCTCTCTCTCTCTCTCTCTCTCTCTCTCTCTCCTCTCTCTCTCTCTCTCTCTCTCTCTCTCTCTCTCTCTCTCTCTCTCTCTCTCTCTCTCTCTCTCTCTCTCTCTCTCTCTCTCTCTCTCTCTCTCTCTCTCTCTCTCTCTCTCTCTCTCTCTCTCTCTCTCTCTCTCTCTCTCTCTCTCTCTCTCTCTCTCTCTCCTCTCTCTCTCTCTCCTCTCTCTCTCTCTCCTCTCTCTCTCTCTCTCTCTCTCTCTCTCTCTCTCTCTCTCTCTCTCTCTCCTCTCTCTCGTAATAGTGCGTCTTGCTTGTCTACTCTGAGTACAACATTTGACCCTTCAATATATATATCATGATAAATAAGTGTTGCTTTCATATTCTTATGTAGAGTAATGACGATATGTTTTTCACATGTAGCACTTACATATCTTGATCTCTTTTTTTACCATTAATGGTTAGCTACTTATATTGCTCCATTTATTAACATTAAATATCATTACAGGTACTTCAAACAACCATATTTATTTTTTACATTAATTTTACTACAGCTACAATCAGGTCTTATTTTCTTCAGTTTTATATGTAGAACCAATCAGTCACTGGTTTTGTGTTTAACATAAACAATGCCGCAGCCGTCTCGTCTCATCGTGTGTTTTAATATGCCACGATATTAATAAATTGTATTGTTAATTTTGACACACAAACATTAATTCAATAAAACAAATTCAGAAACATTAATTAAAATATATATGAACAGTAAATAAGTGTTGTTTCATATTCTTATGTAAAGTAATGACGATATGTTTTCATGTGTGCAAACCCTTACATACGCTTCTTTTTCTTTACCATTATCGTTAGCTACTTTTATTGTTCCATTTATTAACATTAAATAACATTACTTAAAACAACCATATTAATTTTACTACAGCTACAACCAAGGTCTTATTTTCTTCAGTTTTATATGTAGAACCAGTCAGTCACTGGTTTTGTAATCAATCTAAAACAATGCTGTGTCATTTCCTCGTGTTTTAATATTCTACGTATTATTAATGAATTGTATTGCTCATTTTGCACACACATAAACATTAATTCAATAAAAAGACATTCAGTAATAAACAATAATGAATCTTTGTACATAAGAGAAATGACGCTGTTTACACGATTATGCACGCTACGGTCGTTCAAACCTGTCGAAATTCAAGTTTCCTCCCAAAAATTTTTATTTATTTTTGTGTGTGTTCCAATAAAAACGTTGAATTAAAAACTCGCGAAATTTGAGAAGCTACTATACGACATTTAACCCTTCAATATATCTTCAAAGAGACCATGATGCAGAGAAAGTGGTGCTAGTGCTTCCAAGCATAAGCACAAGTCACTATCTATCCAGGAAAAGGGTGAATTTCCATGGTCCGGCACCGGTCAGGTCCCGAGGTTGCCGGACTAGAGAGGTACAACCTGTACTGTATATCAGAGTGGTTGGAACCAAGCACAGATACAGATTAATAATTTTCTCATTCATTCACTTAGTGTTGCTGTAATAGCAACAGAAACCATTTTATGACATACTTTCCAATTATTTTTCCAATCATTCACATACACCAGTTTACTTAATTAACCTTCTCACTGACTGTTGATGCAGGTTGCATCACTAAGAGCCTGACAATCTCTACGGCCTAGACCCCTATCTGCTGGCTCATCTCAGGGACATTGCAACCCCTCACATTGCACACACACTTTTTAAGAGTAGACTTTTACATTAAAGGGAACCAAGTTTTATGAAAAATAAACCCAAAGGATTGCAATATAAATAGATCTTATATCTGTGATGTTTTAATTGAGGAAACCATGATTAAGTTGAAAACTGTGAAGGAGTATGTAGTGACATAAATAGGACTAACTGGAGAAATACTCTGTAGTTAACCCCCAAATTAATTTTTTCCAGTGCTGTACTGTAATCTAAATCAGCTGCTGACTTTTTCCCTATTCAGCTTTGATATCATCCCGGTTAAAAATGCAGAACCTGAGTTTGCACACCAGGGAGAGGTTGTAAGGAAGAAGGCAGATCGTAAACAGTTGGAAGGCTGGCAGTGTCATGAGTGTGAACAATGGTATGAAGCAGAAGATCTTAACCCAGAGGAGAAAAAGGTTTGTTCTTTTATTTTTTGGCAAGTATTTGATAAATGATATTTTCATCACTCATGCTGTGTGTGTTAACAGAAAACTTTTCTGGACATTTATTCATAGAGGCTTGGTTGGATTATATTAATCTTGGTAAACACCACTCATACTGGTGTTCGTTACTATGGTGAAACAGATTGTATGCAAATGGCGACTGTGTTAAACTTTCATTTTGCTTTTATTTACTGATTTGGCAATACATTACTGTACAGTATTTTTTGTTGTATTATTTTATTTATCCCTCACATTTCCTGGTCCAGTATTGTATATATTATTATAAGAAAACTGTGGCTACAGGAGGAAAATACACACAAGTTTTTTTCCAAAATATGTATTCCCTGCTAAAGTGGGGGTATCTTATACAGTATGTTTTTTTTATATAATTATTTATTGTTTTTATACATTTAGTACATCCCCTGTAGGCTGAAGTAGGTTTTACTATATCATGTGT